TCTTAGGGTTATTGATTTTTTGGATTTGAGAGGAAGTGATTTTCCTGAGTTTGATATTGTGTATTCGTTGGAAAGGACTATTAATAGCTCTTGTTGTTTTGATGATGTTGATAGGAGTTTGATTGATAAAATGAAGAAACAGGGAGTGTTTTTGTTGCAATGTGCGGTGAAGTTGTTTTTGAGTACCGGTCGTCGGCCGCTTCCTTTGGTTGTTGCGATTTTGGTTTTGGTTGCTGAAATTAACCAAGTTGAAGTTCGTATGGAAGATTTGGCGAAGGAGGTTCATGTTGTTGTTTCCACTTGTAGAACTAGGTATAAAGAGCTTCTTGAGACGCTTGTGAAAATTGCACAAGTGTTGCCTTGGGGAAAAGATATAACTAAGAAGAATATTGTTAAGAATGCTCCTTTTGTGATTCAGTATATGGAGAAGAAGTCTATGTCAAAACCTGTTGAGAAGAGGAAGAATCTTGATCAGACTAGGTTTGATTTGGAAGAAGTGGTTGCCGAGTGCTTGGCACAAGAGAATGGATATGAATATGGGGTTGATGGATTAGTTTCGCGAAAAGATTCTCAGTATCTTTCATTGCCAAGTAATGCGGATAGAGAAGGCATCAGGGATATTGATACGTCACAGATTTCACCTGAATGTTTATCCCTGATTTATGAGAAGTTTTTAAATGAGAATCGTGGTGCTATGTTGTCAAGGACTGCAAATGTTCAGAAACAGAAAAGGGTTGAATTTGATTTTCACGAGTGTAGAGAGTGGTGGGATGGAGAATCAGAACTGAGCAGAAAGCTTATACTGAGAAAGTTACTAGAGAAGGATATTGGGGCGGAAACCATGCCACCATCATTTGTTAATGGTCAATTGAAATGTAAAATAAGGCGAGAGAGGATTGATGCTGCAAGGAAGCGGATAAAAAGAATAACTCATCCATTAAATGCTGATCTTGATGAAACTGTACCTCTTGGCATTTTAGATGGCACTTGCAATGAGAAAAGGAAGAAGAGAAGAGGAGTGGTAGTTGATGGTATTGATTGGGAAGACTTGATTATTGAGACACTTATTCTTCATCAAGTAAAGGAAGAAGAAATTGAGAAGGGGCATTACAATACTTTATTAGGCCTACACGTGTTTAACTCCGGCGTTGTATAAGAGAGGTTTAAGGTATAAAGACATTATTATATTAGAGGTTTCAGATTTACTGGCATTTTAATGATCTATTGAATAGTGATCTTTTCTGATTTACAACAATCTTATGATAGAGCAGATATTTTCATGCTGTAAATTTTGTACTCAAACTTTTTATTTTATTCATTTGTAATGCAAGTTACTAAGAGATCATTTTCCCTTTCCTCCTCTTTGTCATATTTATGTATTTCTATTGTAAGTTTGTAACTTAACTCTGGAAAAAGATGTTTCTAGAGTTTGATAACTAAATCTACAAGTATTACTTCATTAAATTAATGCAGACCAGATTTGACATACCCAAAAAGAGGTGTGGATTCTTGAATTTTATGCTGTTTTTGTGTTTTGATTAATTTTCCTTTGCACTATTTTACTTTTTCTTTTAGTAATTACTGTTTCATTTATCTTGCAGGTCTCAAGGTATTCTGTCATATTCAGTGGATCAAAGTTATTTGGCTTCTTGTAGATTTGTGCATTCATGAATTAATTTGGGATGTCAACAGACACTGCTCTATTTAACCCATTGGTTTATAACGAGATATTTCCTTTGTACTATTTCCTTTTAATGTCTCGTGTTGGACGGCGGGGTATTTCAGGTAAATCAGAAGTACCGTATGTTATTTATAACATTGGTGAAAGCATGCAAGAACTGATCAAGTTGCGGAAGGAATATGAATCATCTTAATCTCAAGTTGAAAAAAATGCTGAAAGCCTTAATGATGGCCCCACTCTTGAAATCCGGATACCTGCTAAGCATGTCATTACTACAAACCACCAAGTGAGATCAACTTTGTTATTTTTTAATTTGGATTAGTGCCTTTGTTTTTGAGGACTTGGTACATTTATGACCGCTTTTACTGATTCTTGTTATTGGTGATGCCTTTGTTCTTGTTTTGCTTTCTTTTGGTTTGTTTCTTCATTTCATCTGATGTATTCTCGTAACATGTTATGTGAGGTATGTATTTCTAGTAGCTTCCCCTCCCTACTGTTGCCATGTCAGCGTAACTAACCAAAAATTAGTTATGACCAAGTGTAGGTTAAAGGAACTTGGGTGTAGGATTAGACTAGCTATATAACCACCTATAGACAGTCAATTTCCTCTCATGTAACACATCTAAGCTACAATTATATTTGTTATTTGATTGAGAAAAGTTTAGGAATTTTGGTTCACTTGCTTATGATAGTGTTCTTGAAATCATTTCTGCTCTCTGTTTCATATAAAATAACTTTGCATGTCTTTTTCCTCTGCTACATTTTTCTTGATCGGCCTTCGGTTTCATCTCATGCCTTGAATGAATGGGATTCTTATATTCTATTTTACAATGCTGTGTATGATTATCATGGACACGTTTTATTGACTCTTCCCTACCTTGCCAGAAAAAGTACTTTGTTGTTTGCTCGCAAAAATGATTGGATGATGAAATGAAAGTCCTTTATTTATTTCTTAGCTTCTTTTTTATTTATTTATTTTTATCTTATACCATTTCTGACGGTTAAGATTATTACTATTTATAGGTCAGAGGTGCCCAGCTATGGGGGACTGATGTGTACACATATGACTCAGATCTTGTTGCTGGTAAGTTTTATTACAGAAAGTGTACAGCCAGCTTTCGATTGCAAATGACCAGTGTTGGCTTGTTGAAAACTTGAATTTAGTACTGATGTTGCAATTTTGTTGCACAGTTCTCATGCATACTGGTTACTGTTTCCCAACGCCTTCTCCTCCTCCCTCGGCTATAAAAGAGTTGCGCCCATGCATTCGGGTGCTACCTCCGCTAGACTGTATGTCCTTGTTGATCATAAAAATGCACTCTTTTGCCATTATCTAATAAAACCTTGGCACCGATGTCTTCAGTAAAACTTATGGTCTCTACGTGGTCTTAAAGTTAATATCTGAGCATAACTTTATGCTAAATTTTCATAGCATTAATTGGTCAATATATAACTATTGAGTAAAAAGACTTCATTCAATTTTAAAGTTTTGAAGATTAAAAGTGGAATTTTTTCGTCTGGAGTTCCCACCAGCAGAATAGAGGAGGAAAATTAGAAAAAACAGGAACTATCTTATTAATTATATTCTATAATTTTAGACTCTTAAACAAAGGTCCTTAGGCTTATTTATATCTGGATTATTATCAATGTGGTTCAGACTCGGTGTTTGGATTTTATAGGAAAGAACTTATACTTATAAACTAGTCCGTATATCAAAATAAGATAGAAGTACTTGCATTGTAAAAAGTGATATCTATTGCACCAAGTACCCTCTTGGAACTTAATTAATTGTTTCTGCACAATGTTGATATATATACTTTTCTTCTTCATTGTGAGTAATTAGCTTATTCTGTTGATTTCCCTCAATTGCAGTCACTGATCCCGGCTTTACAATTTAAGCTCTATTTGGATAATCTAAAGATGTTAATTCTGTGTTATATCAGGCTATATTTCCACCCAGAGAAACAATCTGCGTTCCCGAGCTTGGGGTGCTGCACCTGGTTGTAGTTATAGAGTTGAGCGATGTTGTATCGTGAAGGTATTAATAAAGGCCTTGCAAAATCCCTTATCCTTTGAACTTTAGTCTACTGAAATTATGTGATCTCTTCGTTACAACCTCTTCTACTTTAAATGCTTGTCATGCACTCTAGTTTTCTGTTTTCCATTCCAAGTGTATTGTTCTTTACTTTTTTATTCTCTGTCATGTCGTATGAAAATGGTGTGAAAAATGTTGGATCTATCTATTCTCTTATGTTTATTAGTTGAAGTGAAAATGAAAACAGGAAACATGGGAAGTAAATGGGCGCCTTAGTTTTTAAACAGATGGTGACTCTGACTATTTTTATTTCTTTGGGCTTCAGAAAGGAGGCGGAACTATTGATCTTGAACCATCCCATACACACACGGCAACTATTGAGCCCACCCTTGCACCAATGGCCGTTGAGCGGACAATTACTACCAGGGCTGCAGCTTCGGTTTGTCCATTATCTATAATAAACAAACCTTTTTGCATTCATAATTGAATTAATGATTATTTTGCTTTCTACATCACCATCTTATAACCTGTGTATGTGATGCCTAAACTGTCATTAGCAGTGAGAAAAGTTGGGTTGGAGAGAGTTTGGTAAAGTTTAAGGTGGAAAGAGTTTGTGTTTGATTATTTGATTACCATATGAGGGACTTGTTAAATACTTCACATTTACTGTTGAAAAGTGATCTACATTGTCATCTAAGCAAAGTCAATTCTTCTAACATACTTTGAATACATCATTCCTAAACACTGTCTTTCATAATCCCTTTTCACCAAAACCTAGCACTAACAGAACCTAACTTGGTCGCCGTTCTTCTGCAGAATACATCGCGGCTGTAAAGATTTATAAGAGAAGTCACAATTCAGTACAACCTCTGCAATGAGCCCTGGTATGCTGGTAGTTGGCAAAGTAGGGTCTAATATAGTAATATTGTGTTTTGTCTTAGAACTCAAACAAAGACCAAGCTTGTGGAAATTTCTTATTTCTCTCTTGGACAGAGGGTGCAACAGATTTGTTTTCGTGCCTTGTTTTTAGTATTTAATAATTATTATAACCATCAGGATCAAGTATAATATCAGCATTGTTGCTGACAAGGGACTAAAAAAGCCACTCTATACATCTGCCCGCTTGAAGAAGGGAGAGGTTCTGTATCTGGAAACACACTCGCGCAGGTATGTTCAACAAGATTCTTGACCAAAATGAGTATTATGTATGTCAACTGATATATACTGTGTTTGATTTCCGTTATAATTCTTTGTAGATATGAACTCTGTTTTTCCGGAGAAAAAATGGTCAAAGCCATACCAGCAACTCAGTTGCACAACCCTGATATAAAAAATTCCCCAAATCATCAGTTGCACTCCACAAATGATAACAAATCTGATTCTGATAATGTCGTGGTTGACGTATTTCACTGGTCTCGTTGTAAGAAGATTTTACCCCAGAGATTGATGCGCAAAGTTGGCACCCCCCTGCCTCTTGAATATGTGGAGGTATTTTTTAATCAATCTTTCATTTCTTTTCCACTGGCACGTAAGTACTTTCCCCAGATTTTTCATCTCAATTGAGCCACACTTACATTGCTACTACTAAACGTGTTTGGTTCTGCGATGAAGACAATTGATTTTGAGTGAATTGATTCTATAAAATTGACTTTAGCTAAAAGTGAGTTGAAAATAAAATGATTTTATGTTTGGATAAATTTTTGCATAAGTGAGTTGAACCGAAAATAAAGTGATTTTACACTCGAGATCAACCAAACATGTCAAAACCAATTCTACACGTCCAGAATTAATTATAAATTCTCCAAACGTGAAACCAAACATACACCAAGTCTTTTTGATCCCAACTCCCAAGGCCCTATTATAAAACTTTTGTTTGGCTTGCTTCAACATGTGCAGAATCAGTCATTTTCTTACACATAAGTTTTCTGAATAAATTGCAAAATGCAAATATTAGCTTCTTTTGTGCAGTTATTGACATTCTGTTCTTCTGATGATAGGTTCTAGTAGAAAATATAGACTGGGAAGATGTACAATGGTCTCAAACTGGTGTGTGGATTGCAGGAAAGGAATATGCCCTTGCTAGGGTGCATTTCATGTCAATGAATTAGTTCATTCAAAACATGTGTAGGGATGATATAATATATTCTTTTATATACTTTCAAGATTAATTATACTAAAAAGTTTTATATACTTTCAAGATTAATTATACTAAAAAGTTATAGTCTTTTCATGTTGCTATAGTTTTCTGTATTTAATAAAGAATTAAGAGAGTAGATACCATACATGTTTCTCAACTTTCAAGGTTGTTGTAGCTTCTGAAACTTGCTTGGATGATATTAGCATAATAAATGTATGAGAATCAAATTTATATGGAAGTCCTCAATTGTTGTTTTAATAAAAATTATTGTTGGTGCATAAAGGTTAGTTTTTAAAATAAAAATCTAGTATATTTTTAACAAAAAATTATAGCAATATTTAATGATCTGGCGATAGAAGTGTTTGAGTGTGTATATGTTTGGTTCTATTTTTGAGAGAGTAAAAAATAATTATAGAAATATAGAATTGATTTTGGTACGGGTGTACGTTCGGTTCTACTTTTGGGAGAGTTAGAAGTAATTATAGAAATATAGATTTGATTTTGGTATATGTTTGGTTTTTTAAAATCAGGATTTATTTTGATTTTAGAATTGATTCTTAAAGTTAAGATTTATAGTTTGAGTCTAATTGTGATTTATTAGAGGATATTGTTTATTCTCGACAATGATTTGTATGCTTTTGCTTTATTAGCATGGAAGTAATTGATAACGAGTTTTGTGATGGTAACTTCAGCAAAAAAAACGGTGGTGTTGGTTGAACGATTCTTTTACCTTAAATTATCATTACGTAAAAGTTTTTTTAAATTATTTCTTTTAATTATTTTTACTATTTAAATAAAGGTCGAATAATACAAAACAAAATACAATACACAAAAGGAGAGAAGAATTATACTAGAATCCTCTCGGAAAAAAACAAATCTAAAAAAATTCAGTTTCTGCCTATTTGTTATAAAATCACTTCTAATTATTAAGGAGTTTGAGTCAAAAAAAAAATTAGTGAGCATTCACACAAGTGTTTCTTTCTCTATAAATATAAATATGTGATATAATAAATGACATGATAACAATGATCTATAAATATAAATATGTGATATGATAAATGACATATAACAATGATCAATATTGTGAAGCCATCTATTTGTAAGCCTTCAATGAACCAATGCATCATTTGAAAAAGTTTGGATCACAAATCTTTCTTAGTCCAAAGCTTAAGTCATGCTATTTCCCTAACAATTTCTATAACTCAAAAAATCACAGAAAACTCCGCGTATAAGGAATTAGTGCTAGAAGTTGGCTCTTCGATACCAAAAGCTGTGAAGGAATTGGTGCTAGAAGTTGGCTCTTGGATACCAAAAGCTGTGAAGGAATTGGTGCTAGAAGTTGGCTCTTCGATACCTTCAAGATCTCTAAAGATGCCATCACACCACTAAATTGAAAGTCAAAGGATCTATCACAGTTGCATTTGCATTTGAGCCAATTAATAATGAGAGGGCCTCAGATGACTTGTTTCACCATAAGAGCTCTAGGAGGATGGACATCAACATTGAAAGATTTTAGCAAATTAAAGTCCATCATGGAAGTGGAGGGGTTGCAAAGAATTGTTGCCGGACATTCTTACAAGGGCAATTATATTTGACATAGTCGTGTGGATAGGAATAGCCTTGCTATGAAACCTTGCAAAACTCGAGCCTGCCATTACCTAATTGCCAAACAATGTTCTTCCAAGCAACTGTCACTACATTGCCACTCCATATGAAATTCCTAGAAGCTTGCTCACATTGCCACTCCATATGAAATTCCTAGAAGCTTGCTCACATTGCCACTCCATATGAAATTCCTAGAAGCTTGCTCACATTGCCACTCGGTAAAGATGTAGGCCAAGAGTAGATTGTAATCGAATGGTAAATCATACTCTGAATAACAAAACTAACTAGTGTGATTCTTCCAGCATAAGTAAGAGTTGAGTCTTTCCAAGTAGGTGCTTTTGCCACCATTTTATCTGTCAAAGCTTAAGAAATGTGATATTGAAGGTTTTGCTTTGCAGAAGATATAAGTGGCACCACTAGAGAGAATGCTATTCTCTTCAATATTCATAAAATAATCTACACCATTAAAATATCGTTAGAGCATAAAATTCTTTCATATTATTAAAATAATTTGCACATGAAAAGAAACATAATATTATTATTTTATCATTTTATGAGTCTGATACACACTTACTAATAACATCATGGAATATATATTATATTCAAATTATTAAATTATTCTTTGAAAATATTATTTATTTAAGGAAATTAAATTTTAATTTAATAATAAAATAAAAATACAAAAGTATAATTAAATTAATTTTGATAAATTTTATAAAATATTATTGACATTATTATATATTTTTTAATTAAAATATGAACAAATAAATAATTTATTATCTATGTTAAATATGTCATATAAAAATATGTTATATATTATGCCTAAATACCGTTTAAAATTACATGTAATTTTTAATAAAAATAATTAATATTATTTTTGAAATTTTAATAATAATTTTATTTTTAAATATTATAGTCGACATATACTAACTATTAATTTTTTAATTTAATATGAAATTAATTTTGGGTTTATTATTTATTTATATTATATTTAATTTATTGTTTTCCATTTAAAGTTTATTTTATAAAAATAAATTAGTAATTTAATTTCTTATCATATCTGCTGGTTTATAATCTAGCTCAAATTCAAAATAATTTTTTTAACTAAAGAAACATGATAGAATAAATTTTAAGATTAACAAAATATTTAATAATTGAGATAAATATAATATAATTATTATATCATATCTCTTATATCACCTTAAAAAAAAAATCAAACTCATATATAAAAACTAGAGTAAATTTAGATATGACAAGTCTAATTTGACCGAACTTGTTCTTACTCTTATTTATTTTTTTGTTAAACAAAACAATAAATGAAATATATATATATATATATATATATATATATATATATATATATATATATATATATATATATATATATATATATATATATATATATATATATATATATATATATATATATATATATATATATATATATATATATATATATATATATATATATATATATATATATATATATATATATATATATATATATATATATATATATATATGAGTGAGGATCAATTTATTTTAAGAGTAAAATTTAACTTACCCGATGTAAAAAGTACTGTAGTAAACAAAATAAAAATGTCAAACATGCGCCTGGTGACACTTTTTACATCGATTCTCTTGTTGACCGATTTGAAAAGTCCTAGGTGACACTTTTAACATCGGTTATGTGGTTAAACCGATGTGAAAGGTAATGTTTTACATCGGTTGTGTGGTTAACCCGATGTAAAAAGTACTGTAGTAAACAAATCTAAGATACACGCAAATCTAATTTCACAAATCACATAGACCATATTTAGGTCGTTATTTTCATATTTTCTCACAAATCTAATTTCACAAATCACATAGACCATATTTAGGTCGTTATTTTCATATTTTCTCACAAATCTAATTTCATTGCACCAAATATCTAGTATACACATAATTGATTTACAAAAGTACTAATATAAGATACGTACACATGTACTAAATTATAAGGAGGTTTACACGATGGACCACTGCAACAACAAAAAGCTTAACCTTTATATAACTCAAAAAAACATGTTGTCCAACGTAGTCGCAAATCATACAAATCATCTTTTGTTAAGTTCGTTGGATCATCAAATACCTATAACACGTAAATAACAATAGAGTTATTCTTTGAAAATTCATATTAAGTTGCAAAACATAAAGTAAATAACAAATTAAAGTCATTTTTATTACCTTCATCCAAAAATTGGTTATATTGGCAGAGACAATATCCAACATATTTTTCATCACATAATACCCACAATCATTAGAGTTAGGTTGTTTCATTGTCTACAAATGAATGACATGATTAGTGAATACTTATATGATAAAATTAAATATATAATTATAATTTACACCACACTTACATTGGGTTGAAGCCATATGGCCTTTTTTTTTCTATTCCCATTTGCCGCTTGATGAACCCCAAAAGCACTAATTCAGAAGAAAAAAATTCATATAAAGCCACATAACATACGGTATTACTTTTGTAACAAATAATGTATATAGGATGAAGTGAGCATAAAAGATAAACTTACCTTGTAACAATTTTCGTCATGGTTTGATTAAGTTCATGATGAAGTGAACAAAAGACGACCACCATATTATCATTTGGACACATGACTATTAATTGCCAATGACCTCTATACGTGTGTGTGGAAACATAAAAGTCACAATTTCATGTTACCAAAATTGAACTATATATGTTACAAAAATTAAAAAATAGAAAACATTATTTCATACACACTTACCCATGAATAAATGGTAGCAAGTGACACTCTCTCTTTTTGTCACATAACTTATCTTGTATGTACTGTTTGACACTTGCTTGAGTTTTCGGCACATGATCAACGTACGAACACATAGCAGGATCCATAAATCCGTATACTTCATATTGTGAAGTATCAATACACAAACGATGAATATACCTGAAATTGTTTAAAATAAACATTATAATAAAAGTGATGAGAGATATAACATATTAATAGATATTGTTTCACCCTAAATTTTGACACCTTAGATCTTCATCATAATTCTAGGATCATATTCATTTGTTTATCTAACCATAACATATTTCAAGTTTGTCTTTGTTAAGATACAGGTGAATTAAGGTTTCTAATTAGGAAAAGTCAATTGTGGTTTGACTTTTGACTTAAAAGGTGTTCTAATGGTGGGATCATGGTCCATGAAGTTTATATGGCTTATTGAAGACTACTCAAGAAATTTCAAGGCCTCAGAAGACCTAGAAAATCAACAGTCGACTCGGTGGTCATCGATCGATCGTTTCGTTGACCGAAAAGTCAACTCTTCAACCATAAGGAATTTGAACTCAAAGTT